CTTTTGTTCCGGTACTCCTCCGAAGGGGGATTGGTTGAACTTCTTCATCAGAGGAGCTCTCATTAGACACGTCTCGATCTATTGGGACACTACCGCTATCGGAGTGATTGGTTGTTGAATTCAACTCTATGTATATTGGCTGTTCACTATCCTCCGTGTCTTCTTCGTCAGTTGTGGGATTCGATCCCAAAAAGGGCGCCGGTCTCTAACATGACGAGGTGTTCCATCGACCCGCACTGACTGCTGACTCACCACCTCGGTCACACGTCCGGTTCCAAATTTGGTCGTGCATTTACCACGTGGAGTCTTAACCCAGACAATGTCCCTTTCTTGTATTCCCTTCGTTACTTGTGATTCAGGCGGGGACATCGCATCGATGCCTCTCACCCGGACGTGGTATGTGCAGTACATCAGCCGGTGCCGTGGAAGGTGAAAGGTTGTCCTTAGGTGTGACGTTATGCCAGTAAACCGCCTAAGACTGAACAATTTTTCCTGGCCGCTATGGTTTTGACGCTTCTGTGGTTAAGTGCTCCACAATGCCATTTCCAGACGGCACGTAAGCGCACACCGAACCTCAAATGCACGCCCCAGCTGTTTACAAATTCCCTAAATTGTTCGTAAGTGAACGTGGTGTCATTGTCAGTCAGTATTTCAGTCGAAATAACTGACGAATGACACCAGCAGAGTCTTGCCGCCTCAGTGGCCGCCATACCGCCAAAACGTGAGGGACCACAGTCAATGAGCGTGAAGAAAATGGCTACCATTGTAATGGGTCACGTCCATTGCTAACCTGCTCCAGTTTTTTCTCACACTCAAATTTCCTTTCCTCCAATGCACTGGTGCTGGATCGATCGATTGGCAGGCTTCACAGGTTCTAACAACAGATTTTACCAGTTCCTTAGACACCGTTGGATCTACAGTCCTAGCAAAGTACATTGTTCTTTAACACCTGGGTGCCCACTCTGCTAGTGGATGTGGGTCACCTGACGTTTTCTCAACTGGCTCGTTGCAGTGGCGCAACTTACTTGCACCGGTTCTCCTCCTTTCTTGTGCATCTCCAACCAGCGCTGCGGCACTCTGGTGAGGCTGTCAGCGCGGTTCTGACAAGATTTTACCAACGTCACAGTCATAGTCAGTGCGCATCCTCCACCAGAGCTCGCAGTGTCTCTAAGCGCCGCCTCATCAGCATTTCACCCGCTGCCTTCGTGTTCACGCCGTCTTTCCTGTCAGGGTGTCAGACACCCACCGATGCACACATGCTGAATCGGTGACCACATTCATAACTGGTGCCTGCCATTGCAGGGCAAGATTCACGCCCTTGATCACAGCATCAAGCTCAGCAAGATTAATGTGTTTAGCATCATTGGTTGGACGCAACCAGCAAGCATCTTCCACGACGCCCCATTCACCTCTAGTGCTACTCCCGTGGGCACGGAGCTTGCATCCACCCAAACTGTCATTTCATTGCCGCTCACACACCAGTCTCCGCCGACAGGATCCGATTCCCCGCACTCTGGCCACTGTTTCCTCCAGTATACGTCCAAGAGTGGCATCCTTTATCTCGTCGTCCCATCCTTTGGTTAGTGTACTTGCATAACGCTTAATAAATGCAGTTGCCACCCTAAGCCAACCGCACACAGGGAAATGACCCACGAGTTTCCCGACAGGGAAAATACGCTCAATGGTCAGCTTTTGAGCAATTTCTGAACTTGACCTCCCCGCTTCCATCGAGGGAGTTGCTTTCTTCCCAGACTTGCAGACCCAGGACCTTAGTTCCGCCCCTCAATCGCCTCCGGATCTTTACAGACTAGCCCGTAATCTGCAAAGTGCTGTCTGACGCGCGCTGCAGAAACTAGGCCTTAATTTATGAAGATATCGCCGACGATGCCGACGTGGCGCTCTTAATGTCCTGATCCTGGGACGTTATTATGTCGATCACTGACTTCATGACAAGTGGTGCCACATTCAGGCCAAAACCCAAACGCCAGTAAGGCAAAACCGCTTGCCCTTAATGACCACTGTTTGAAACGGCCATAGCGATTTGTCAATGAATCTGTAGGTACGCATTTCTCAAATCCAACAGCGACACGCCAGCTCCTTGTCGCCGCCATTCTCGTAATTTCTGCGCACACACCTCTCGCCAGCCGTGAATGCGCTCTACAAAGCCGCTCAACTCCCGATAGTCAAGTACCGCCGGACCTTCTGTTTGTGTTCTTGTACGACCGCCATTAAGGGAATTAATCCCTTTGGTGGGCCAAGCTCTTTCGGGATATGGCAGTAGCCATCCGCCTTGCTGCCACCGTGCTAGTTCTTCATCGTATGCATCCCGGACGTGGCCAGGTACTGTGTACTCCTGTACTTTATTGACCAACTTGTTAGGTGAATGACCACTCGCCCACTTCCACAATGCAGTCCACGTTTTTTATTACTCGGGTTAAACGTCACTCTAAAGTCAGGTTTGTTGATAACAATGGCGGCACATGTGTTCAGGTTTCCAAACGCCGCTTCGCCTGATTCGGTTAAGTAAACGCCCCGAGCACTTTGATTGCATCAATCCCGAGAAGAAGATCGAATCTTAGCAACTGCCCTTCTACGACCAGAACCTCAACAGTCACGGGCTGAATCCGCCGACGCCCAACTTAATTTTACCGTATCCACGGCACTTCAGGGTCTTCCGTCGGCAGTCAACACTCCCACCTCTTCCTGCTTCCAGCAGCGACACACAGTCTTGCTCACCAGCGCCTGTGAGCATCCCGAATCCACTAGAGCTGTACACTCTACTCCATCTACAAATACTTGTACGGTGGGTAACTTCCGGGTTTTTACTTGCTCGGGGAGAAGGCTGGCGCTGATGCCTTCTCCCCTTGGGCATTTCCCTGGCATTCTGAGGAAATGTGTCCAATGCCATTGCATCGAAAACACCGCTTGTCACGGCCAGACCTCTGCATTCTGTTCGACCTCTCCTGACGTCCTTGTGTACAATTCTTCGCCATATGGTTGGGTCCAGAGCACTTGTAGCAGGTAATCGTTCTGCTAACAGATTTAGCAGGGGAAGCTTCTGAGCTCAGCTTCTGATGCGGGTACCTGGCATCCTTCATCATCCGTCATAATAGCCATCCTCGGGTCAGAATCTGTTCTAGATTCATGTCGTCCATCCTGGAAGAAGCTTTGAGAAGCTGCCTAACATGATGTGGCAGTCCTGACACGAATGCACATGCCATCCACTGATCAGGTAGCGGTTCCCCTATTAGCCGCCGCCTAAACGATGCATTTCAGCCAGGAATTCATCCACAGTTTCCCCTGGGCGAAGACGCCGTCCCATAAATTGGTCGAACGCATTAAATCTGTCAGTCGCATGCAGTCATAAGGGCCCGTTTAATTTGTTCGCGCCTGCCCTCTGCTCTCCACTGAGTTGTCTATACACAGCAAGGGCACCACCTGAAGTCGTAGAGGCAAGATGCGCCGATCTTGTCCATGGCACAAAGTTCGCAGACCAATTCCACATTTTCTATCCATTCAACAATGGGCATATCCGTTGGGGCCCGCTGAATTCTGGAATCAAACGGACGTCAAAAGACCTTACCTTCCATTTTGAAGAATCAATAAGCCAAATAGCTTGAGGCGAATGAAGAAAATAGTAACCAGCGTAAATTCAAGCTCTCCCAACTGGTATTTCAAACTTGAGTCGTTCCTTCTTGAGTTGTTCCAAATCACACTAACTGCCCGTTCTTGCCGTCAACCGTGAACGTCTCTCAAAGAACTCCCGACTCGGAAAAAAAGTAGTTCTTTTATAATTGTTCATGTACCCATAATCCCCTGCGCCTTCACGTGATCCCATAATTCATTGCGTCCATGTCCCATAATGCATTGCATCGTTATTGCATAAAAATGCGATGCCAGTCCCCCTCATTCTTTTTAAGTTATCTGGCGAGGATGGATTACGGCAGAGCGGTAAGTGCTTTTTTCTCTCCTCATTTCAACTGCAGTAGCTTTACATGCTAAGCAAATACGGGCTCTTTTTTGGCGGGGACAAGGCAAGTCGCGACCAGTTGTGCTGGTCCCAGGTTCTGTCTCATGTCCGCCACAGTGACTCCAGTTCCTTTCTCAAAGAAAGGAAAGTTGAAAGTATTAGACAAGTAAATAAATCCATAAAAAAGGCAGAAATCTCAGCTGATCATGCAAGAAATTTAAGACAGCTAAAAATGGTTGCTTACAGTGATAATTCTTTTGCTAATCTAAGTGACAGAGGTTTCCAGCGAGGGTATATAATATTTTTTTATCGGTAGTAATGGCAACTACATGCCTATTTCTTGGCAGTCAAGATCTATAAAGAGAGCTGTGAAGAGCACACAAGCTGCCAAGACACTGGCAATGCTTGACATGGCTGATACATGTATATACTACAGGAAATTCTTTTTCGAATCGTTGGGTTTTGAGGATGTTGTGAATAACATCCCTGTTGTATGCAAAGCAGATAATTCAAGTGTTTGTAAATCAGCCCATTTGAGCACTCAGATTCTGGATGAAAGACTTAGAATTGAGAGGGCTATCTTGTGTGAAATGTTGATAAATATAGAATTGTCTGGCATTAAATGGGTGCTCACAAGTCACCAAATAGCTGACTCACTTACCAGGCAAGGTGTTCTCTCATCGAAGATTCTTTTACATATTATGGAGCCCAAAGAATATTTGACTTAGGTCATATAAATTTTCTTTGTTGCCTGTGTTATTATGTACACTGTGAAGAAATGGCGGAAGTGTTAATGTTGTAGTTATTGCCTTTGACTTTTGGTTGTTGTTTAGGGCCACCAGGTGGTGGCTTCTATAAAATGCTGGCAGCCATATTGAAAATGTTTCATTTGTTCCGTTGTCAATATTCAGCCATCAGGAGGATTACCTTATTGCAGATACAATTAATTCATTGAGGATTAACAGATTCTATAATTTTATATCAGTTTTATGAAGACATACTATGTGTTTCTACTTTTTGTTTCTTCTAGTGAAAGATTCTAAATGTGATTATCCTGCTGCCTGTAATGCAATGGAGACTTTGCTTATACACCGCAGCCTTTTTAGGACAGAAGTGTTTGACAACATTTTTGAGATGCTGAAAACTGAACGTGTAAGTGATTTCAGGCAACTGGGTTTTGGAAAACAATCTCTTGGCTGAATTTTATGAAATCAGCTGTGTTTTTTTTTTCAAATTCATAATAAAAAAAAATTGTTGTATAGTTGTAATAGTAAAAATAACAAAGAGCTTATGCCTTATGAGTTTTAGTTGTAATAGTAAAAATAACAAAGAGTTTATTCAAAACCAGTGAATTACTGGAGAATCTTACTGAGATGATGTTGGTAACTATTTTTTATGTAATATATTTAAAATGTGATCTCTGTTTATAAATTCAGTAGATTTATCCAGGGCCAGGAAAAGGGTTTTATGCTCCACCCCAGAATCTATGATATGGGCCCCCACCATTCTAATACATCTCAATTTTCATAAGACAGTATTCATAAAGAGTACAAATTTTATTGTAATCTAATCATATACAATAATGAATCATATGCAATATAGGTGAACAATTCAACTAGGAAAACTGAAAATAAATACAATTTATCTAAATACCAATTAGAGACATGTCATAATAGATCATTTGATCTTAAGTAAATCAACAATGTTTTGTGGCAATTTTTAACATCAACTTGAAATTTTTCTTGTTAAAAGTTGAATAATTTTAAGACATTCAACATTATGGATAAAAAAGTGAATTTTATATAGTATTTTTTTGAGATTTAACATGAGCAAAACAAAAGAATGACATCAAAATCCATGAAAATTTGTTATTCTTTAATAGTTTTACTTAGTTTAATTTGTAACATAGATAAATAACATAATCAGGCTTAACCCCCTGGTCAAGGTGTTTGGAGTTAATACATGTCAGCACTAGATTTATCTTAGCCCGAGTTTGTGCCTAATTTTCATTGTTAATATAAAATGACTGCAACTTGTCACTGGTGTTTGTTTCAGTGCCAGTTTCTGGTGGGTTCTAGATTGGAACCTTGGATTGTTCAGTTGTGAGTCAGATTTTGTTTACAAATGAATGCATTTTGGTAGATTTCATCATGGTGATTTTAACCAAAAGAATCAACCACACTTTCAACATCAAACTTTCAACATAGATGAAGATGCTCTGCTTGCCATGTAAAATAAACTGAAGATTTAAACAAAAGACATTGCTGTGATTTTGAAAATCGATATTTCAACTGCCTTTTGCTATTTGAAGAGACTTGGTTTCGTTTCAAACTCAACATGTAGATGCCATATTCTGTGACAAAACAGAGCAAACTTTATCATGTTTTTGCAGAAATTTCTTTGCTGTTATACCATAAAAGGAGTTTTTCTTGGACAGAATTGTCACAGGTGAGGAAAAATGGATTGTTTATGATAATATGCAATGCAAATGGCACTGGACATAAGCTTGTAAATGTTAAAAGCCTGCATCTAAAATGGGCTTGCAGCCAATGAAGTTGTTGCTATTCATTTAGTGGGATTGCTGAGGGGTAATTCCCTTTGAGCTTTTTCCATCTAGTGAAATACCTGCAAAAAAGTATTGTGACCAACTCACCCATCTCAGTGTGGCTATTGAAGAAAATTGGATGATGTTGGCAAATTGAAATGGTGTCATTTTCCATCATCACAATGCAAAAGTGCATTTTGCAAAACAAACCTTGCAGAAGCTTATAGAGTTGAAATGGGAAACCATCCAACACCCACCATATTCTCTTAAGTTGGTTCCTTTGGATTTTCATTTCTTCTGGTCTCTACAGAAGTATAAATGACTGAAAATTTGACTTCATACGGTCATTGAAAACTACCTCACAGCCTTCCAACAAAGAAAATGAATTTTTTATGAAAATGGTATCAACAAGCTTGTAAAATGATGGGAAACAGTTGTTAAAAATGGAGACTAATAAATGTTTTTTGTGAGTATGTAAAATTTCGTTTTTAATTTTCTAATTGGGCACAAACTTTTGCAATGATCTAATATTTATCTGTTCAATATTTTTAATAGTTTAAATATAATAGATAAATAAGATGTAAAATAAAGCTATTTTGAAAAGCTCAATATAAAAAGATTATCATTGTATAAATTATATCGATATAAGAAAACATTTAATTTAACATTTAAATACTTTTCATTTTAGTTAATACTAAAGTAAAAGTATTTATTTTGCCTTGAAATTGAAGTTGATAAATTTATGTTTACTGCAGTAGACTGTAAATTTGCTGTGTAAACATTATTTGCTACCTAAAAGTTGTAATATTTTTAACATTTTGTTTTAGTATCTTTGTCTTTTTCATTTCAGATCAAAGTGCATTCTGGTCCTCGTTTAACAGGACTATTAAAGTTTGGTCCTCCTCCTGCTTCTTCAATGAAAACAGAATATAGTGGCTTGGAATGTACTGTTGAGATTGTAGATGATATAGATGATGCTATCTCTCATATACACAAATATGGCAGTGCACATACAGATACTATTGTCACTGAAAATTGTAAGTGGTTGTATTAGCTGGTTGGAAGGAAAGTTTTTCCAGTTTCTAATTAAATTTGATTATTTAGAAACAGTAATAACTTTCCTGCCAACCAGATATTGTTATTATTTTTTTTTCTTTACATAGATATCTACATATCACAAATTCTAACAAGATTTAATATTGATATTTGCGAAAAGATTGGACTGAACAATTTTTTTCTAATAGATTCTCTTCAAAACTCATTGACAATTTTCCAATTTAAACAGTAAAATTTAACTGAGAAAAATAACTTGTAGGTCGGGTGATATATATTTTTTTAGTTTTGTACATACCTACATGTTATCTTTTGTTTTAAATCACTTTCATCATTTGAAAAGTTATTACTTTTTAATATCACAGTATATATCAATTATTTAATAAATTTTAAACAAATATTTATTCATATTTACTCAAAATATTTGGTATGTTGCTAGAATGTTAAAAGCAAGAGAGGTAAGCATCCATTTGAAATTATTCCCCTTTTATGTCAAAAATCTTTTTTCAAATGAAAAAGAATCAATTTACTTATTTATTTATTTATTTTTTTTTTTTTTTTTTAATAATAATAAATATTTTTTTAGCTGAAGTGGCAGAACGTTTCCTGAAGACAGTGGACAGTGCATGTGTGTTTCACAATGTTAGTACACGTTTTTCTGATGGCTACAGATTTGGATTAGGTAAGATCTAATTTAATTGTACTAATCACACAAATTTGACTGCTTGTGAATTTCTAGAAATCTGATATATTTTGCTTCAAAAGGAGAAAGGAGATTTTATATAATATATTTATATATATATATATATATATATATATATATATATATATATATAATGATTGAAATGAGTTGTGAAACTAACAGTCACTATACTGATTGCTATGTTTGCACTGACAATCTCTCTCTACATACATACATACATACATACATATATGATGATTGTTACTTCTTTTGCAGAAGAATACCATCTCTTCACTTAGTAGCTTTTTTGTTTTTCATTGAGAATTTTATTATTTCCAGTAATTATGCCTAAGCTAACACTCTGCTATGGATCTGTAAGTGATTATTAAGGCCAACTTCATTTTTACAACCTCTCTCACACATGTGGTAAACATAAAGTTTGTCTGTGTTACCTATGTTGGAAACTTACCTGTCCCTATGTACAATTAGGTGATGCTTGAAACCCACAACATATATACAAACCTTGTCACAAAACTTGCACAAGTAACTCGTAGGTCTTTCTGGTGGGGTAGCATTTATAGGAGTTTGCACTTGACCTCTCTGGTGTGATCTTATGTGATATATATATATATATATATATATATATATATATATATTGAAAGAAAAGAGAAAAATCTAAGGAGTGAGTGCAAAGTGGGAAAAAAAAATGAAGGACAAATAATCAAAACACCCTATGCGTATACATGCACACACACACACACACGTTGAGTGAATCTATTTATAATTCTACTATAATTCACAACTAATTTCTTTTTATGTCATTCGTTATCAACAATTAAAATTTGAGCTTGCTTTCCTCAATTATTCCAGTTTCTCAGTTTTAATAAAGTGTTTATCAGCAGTTCCAAATTACCTACATTTCGTAGAAAAAAAGTTTGCAGTTAGGATCGAGATCTAAAAATAATGGACGTATATCTAACCGTGCAGATGGTAGGCTGCAAGCAGTTGAACTCAAAATGGATTGGCCTTTCTTAGGACCACCAAATGCAAAAGATACACTAGAATGTTGGTTCATGAAGTCTTGCCAAAGTATTACATCACTACAAAGATTGAGATGGGCGCAAAATGTAACATTCAAATACCACTCAGCTAATGAATTTAAATTGATGGTGCACTGCCCTTTTATTGAAGTGTTAAGGGATGATGAAGCCATGAACACATTCCTGACTACAGGTTTTATTTTTATCTGTTGTCTTTTGTATAGTCGAGTGATATAAAGTATCCAGAGCTACTAGTGTCTATTATAGCAGTAGCCTCGTTTTTCCAATCAATATGTACACTGTAGACTGTTTTTATAAACTAATTAGTGTAGTGGTCACCAATATATAAAATGCAGTAAGTGAGGTGGCCGAAGTACCACTTGAATGATATGCTTTGGAAAAGTGCACCTTTTTTCTGCATTTATAACATGTGGGCTCTCTGGCCAGGCACACTTTATGACTGTGATGTGATCCACCACAAAAAATAACATTTAGTGCTTGTTAAGACACATGCATTGCCAACAAATGAATCTTTGTTTTTTAATGTTATGGCTCCCACAGTTGGTGAGAGTGGATGTGAACATGATTCAGAGCTTTTCTGAGCTAGGTATAGATCTCTGATTTGATTAACTGCTGTGTATAGATCAAGGGCTTTATTCTTTAAAAGACACTGTTGAATGGAATTAAAGTGTAAGTCGGTAATGAACACGTCTCCAATGCATTCATCTTGGTTTTGTGCAGTGTTAACCGCTTTGAATCTACATTCTTTAGCTAGTAGTTTTAACCCCTGAACATACTCATCAATACCTTTTGTCTTCTCTTTGTCCGTGCATTGCTAGAACATGTCTGGTGAAAATTTTGTTTGTGGGTTTCATGAATAATTCTATGAGGCAATTTACAGCTGATTTGAATGTAGCATACTTGGCAATATGGTCGTAGACATCCAACAAAATGCTATTAATTAACCATTACCACACTAATTTTCAAGAATTGTTCCCCCTGCCATTGCATTTTTTTTTTTTTTTTTTTTTTTTTTTGAGGGTGCAAAAAAATGAATACCTACTGTTTTAAAATCGTTATAACTTTCTTTGTATTGTGCGTATAGATTTTAATTTTTGTACACTAATAAAAGAAGGAATGAGTAATATTTTGATGTAATGCAGTATGTAATGTGTTTCGTTTTGCATGCATGTTTTGACGTTAAAACGAAAAAAATTGAAACACGAAATAAAAAAATGCGAAATAAAAAAATAAATACATTAAAAAATACATAAATAATTCAACGTACTTTAACTTTTATTACTCCTTGTAGAGATCTGGGGGTCCAATAAATAGCAAAATTGCTAAAAAGGCTTTTATTTTGTCAAAAAAAATGATATGCTTCCCTGTGTTTACATAAGAGAAGACACTAGCATGTGTTTGCTCTTTCTTTCACCTAACACATATTTGTCTCGTTGACGAATAAAGTTATTATTTCATCGTTTATAGACGAAATAATTTGCCTTCAGAAAGACCATCAGATGTATTGATGGTTGCCAGTAGCTTCCATAAAATTAATCAGGCATGGATGATAGTAGTCGCGAGTGGTCATTGTTGCTTTCCTCCACGTCACTAGCATGATTATCATCTTCGACCACTTCATTGTGACTTGAGTAAAACCTTTAAAATCATCATCGGAGTCCTAATCAAAGAAAAATTCCTGAACAAAGGCTTTGTTGGATATTGGCGTGGCCATTTTTGTTTACAAAAAAATCACCATGGGTTTAATCAATGTTACAGCTTGTGTAGAGTCTAGAAGAATTCAAAATGGCATTGGAAAATGGAAGTTTAACCTTGTTCCAAAGCAATAGTAGGCAATTTCCAGCTTAAAATACTGGAAATAACAGTTGAGAAGTGTTTATTTATAGCAACCGTCTCAGGCGACAGAATGTGCCTAGAGTAACAAATGTTGCCTGTGGTGTGGTAAGGTTAAAATATCCAATTTGTCTTGTTCATCATGTACAGTATCATCTGTAGTTTTTTGTAAGAATGAAGTGAAGGTCCGATACCATTGATTGAAGATTTTAGTTACAGAGGGTGAGTTAGGAGATACATCTAATCTCTTAGATTTCAAAAGTTTGTCCATCCTTCAATTTATTTTGTTTATCAAAATTTAATAAGAAACAAAAGTAAAGAAGAACCTTGATGTAGGCTTTAATAAACAGAATAGTCCACTACCAGTCTAAGAGCAAATATGAATACCAGAATACAAGTAAAAGAGGATATGTATATACAGTATAGCAAATTTTGTTAGTGATTTTAGATAATCATAAAAGTAGAGTCCTTTGAAAAACTGACCATCTTTCCAGCTTTTGGGTCGTCTCCTTTTCTGAAACACAAGTAGATAGATAGGGGTTGTGAGACCCCATCCAATGTCCATATAAGCAGAGAGAGGTAGGCAGACAGCAGTCAGGGAGTAGAGGGGCAGTCAGTCAGGAGCACTCAATGAGGCAGGGACCAGCAGTCAGTCAGGAAGTCAGAGGTGAGTGAGTCAGTAGTCGCTGAGATGGGCAGTTTATGAAGGGTTCTTTCTCCATGGTCAGAAGTTAGTAAGATAGCAGTCCACCCTCTCAAAGCTAAAAGAAGACATCACTGATTTAGTGAGAATTCATATTGTTTGCTATTTCCCAATCAGTGTCTGGAAAGGCATTTGTTGTTATTCTTTGTTGAACTCGATTGTGGCCAATGGGACAAACCTGTGAACATAGATAGCCGGGTGTATATACACATACAACCAAACTTGGATGCCATCACAGTCGTGTGGAACACATTGTCACACATTCTTTAATGTTTGATTGATAACATTAATGCAGCTAGTGGTGTTCAAATATTTCTTAAATTAATCAGAAATGTAAAAGTTCAAACAAAACTATGTAATTACTAATGTAATGTGCATATTTTAACAAGAATATATAGTAATAAATTCTGATAATAAGTACAATACATTATTCGAGAGAGGGAAAATATGATTGAGAAAAAAAAATTTCTTCTTTCTCCATGTTTTTACCAGCAATTTTATTTTGTCTTTTAACCCTTACTTATTAATTTAATGTTAATTGTTGAGTTCGCAGCATTTAATGGAAGTTTTGAGAAAAACTGTGAATATTCCAATGCATTTCCAAAGAGTATATATTTGCTTAAAATTTAATATTAAGCTCAAAGAAATTTAAATCCAGCTTAGTAGCGTCAAAGAGAATATTTTGGCTTTTTTCTTTACATTTGGTCAAAAATTCTATCAACTTGTGAAGTTGAATGTAAACATTGAAATTTGAAAATGAATGTTCAACTTTCACAAGATGTTAAAACCTTGTGATAGTTGAACATCATACTTCTCTATATTTTACAAAATAATGTAACCATTTGTATCTGTTCCAAATCAAATTGTTTAGGATTTATGTACAGACAACTTCATGTCATGACCTATTTAAATTTTTTCAGTCACATTTGATTGGTTAATCACAGTAAAACCCACAAGACATATTTTGATTGAGGAAGTATTCTGCTTTTGAAATTAAATTAATCATTCACTCGCCAGTAATTTACCATTGCCCAAGTGTAGTGTTGAAATATGATTTCTATTGTGTAAATAATATTTAGCTCTGTGCTGTATTGAGCCCACTTTTAAATTAAATGATATGGACAGTGGAATTATACTTCATTTGTTTGCATCTTATCTGGAAAAATCTGTTGGATTAATAAATAAAATATCCATTTCTTTTCATTCATTTATATATATATATATATATAAATGAACATAGAAGTCAACACTTAGAGGCGACAGTCTTTTTCATGCTAGATGCAATCGCATGAAACAGACTGTTCACTTTTATATTTACACATGCTCTATATTTGATATTGAGCACTTTATCCCATAAATATAGCACATTTTAAGACTATATTTCTTCATATATATATATATATATATAAATTTTTAATGAACAACAGACACTTTAAGGTACCATTACAATAATTTATTTCACCAAAATCCTTTTTAAAGGATTTTGGATCATCAAATAACACTTCCAACAATGAAATGAGAGGAAAAAATGTGATTAGAAATTGATGGGTAGTGTAATTTTTGTAATTAAACAGGGAGGGTGAAGGTGGCCGTTAAAGAGACAATACAAAATATAGTGAGGGTTAAATTTACATCTCTCTTAAATAAGCCTTTAAATTGGGGTAGGAGGAGGACCTAACCTTGACCTATTTATGTGGTAAAAAAAAAGGAAGTGATATATAGGAATAGTGAGGAAAGGAAATAAAGTAAAGGGAAAAAAAAAGAAAAAAAAAAAAAAGAGACGTATCCAAAAGAGTTTTATTGCAAAGAGGGAGGGGAGGGGAAGTGAATCGAAAGAGAAAAGGGGAAAAGGCCCAAACGTATTCAAAAAAAGGTTTTATGGCAAAGAGAGGGGGGAGAGGAAAGTGAATCGAAAAGAGATAAAAAAAAAAAAAAAAAAAAGACAGACATATTCAAAAGATTTTTATGGTAAAGAGGGAGGGGGAGATGGAAGTGAATCGAAAGAAGCTGTAATTTTGTTTTAACAAAATTATGTAAAAGATAGATTACAATGTTTGATAGAAAATTAGGTGTCTAAAAAATTGGAAGATATTAAATTCAGTATTTAATTAACTAGTTTAGGGATTTAGTACAAGTTAACTACTATTGTAATAAATATATTTATCGAGAACATATTAAAGAAATATTTAAAATTGCAATAGTACATTTACCCGAAACATTGTGATTCACAATATAGGAAGAAAACTACGGTAACAATGAATTCATCTATATTAATATCTAAAATAATTTGTGAATGCAATTTTTATTTATTTTTATATTGGTAAGTTTAATTAAGGTTTAGGTTTCATTATTTAATGGTATTAGAGGGTAATATTAAAGATTTTGTTTTTTCTTATATCTCTCTCACAAATCTATTTCTATAAATTTATACATACCTACTCACATTAATAAGTACAAATACACACATAGACACACATGTAACAATATACACAAAGGTCACTCCTCCTACCCCAATTTAAGTTCTTCACATTTCATCCTCCTTGGATTTACCAATTCGGTTTACCAAATTCTTCATAACTTATATATTTAATTTTAGTTTTAATCCTTTCAAATCTACAATTTAATTTTTTGGTGGCCAGAGAAAATGAAGAAAAATTAAAAATTTCAAATAATTTTTATTTTCCCAAGTACTTTCAATCTATCTCATCTGAGACCATTTTCAGTGTGGTTAAAATATCTATGGATGTGTATACAGTAGCACTGTAAATTCAAAATATTTTTTGACTGTTCGTTTATAGCATTCCAAAATTTGAATATGCATGGTGGGTAACTTTTGTAATTTTTATTTTAATATTTAAAAAATGAAAAAGATTTTAATTTTTTTAATTATAATATTTCCATTTAGTACTTTATATAAAACTTTGTTGCTACAACCATTTAAGAACTTTGTTGCTATACTCATAGTTGATTTTATTTATTTTTGGCTGCAATTCTCTTATATGAAGGGCTTCTAGAATTTTAAGTTTTTGCTGAAGTACTAATGTATTTTTGACTAATATCTGTCTAAACTGTGAATGTGGGCATGAGTGTTTCTTTAAATGTTCTGAGATTGAACTATGCTCATTCAAGTGAAACGTAAGCCTTCTTGTCAACATTGTTGTTGTAAAACCAACATATTATTACCATTTTATCAGCATCAGATGCTAGTTGATGGAGAAGAATTGTTCTCGATGACCATTACAATTATGCTGGGATTACAGCATAATATATAACTATGCCATCATAGTGATAGCCAGATATATTATAATCCAAATTGCATAACAACCAGCCATACTCAGCACCTGAAGATTGCATCATGCATGAAACTTAGTCATGCTAGCAGTGATATTTATGATATATACACATCTGTACTGATTATCTGCTTTTTAATTTAGTGTTAATTGTTGAAGTTACAGCATTTATTTAATGGGAGTTTTGATGGAAAACTGATTGAATATTCTGACAAAGAGTAGATATTTGAACTTAATAGTTATTTCATTATCTCAGTTCACAACCTACCCGACCATACAGATTCTGATCCTTAATCCCTTTCCTCATTAAGAGATGGGGTGGGTGAAATATACATGTGCAGCAATCAAATTGAAGTCATCACAAACTTTTTACTCTTAATGTACAAAAAAATGAAGTTTACATTAGTTGTATGTCCATTTCTGTGATAATGAAGTCCCCAGTAAGTGTCCATAGGATAGTCTTTTTAATCCATATGTGGGGTATTGTTTGTGTGTGAGAAAAGTGTAGTTGCGTGGTCTCAATCAGGTTTCAAGAAAAATAAAAATTACAGAAAATAAGATAAAATGCTACCTGTGACTGGTCAGAGAGGAGAAGGTAGAAACTATTGTGTATGGTTGATGTTTGGGGGATGACCCCAAAACTGACTGAAGGTAGAATTCAAGACATTTATACATTTTAAAAGGGATTACAGATGCATTCACTGTATCACTTTGTAGTGCCTTCTGAGTGGGCCCCAAAAGTTTAGTCTTTGGTCACATGACCTGCTCACCACTATATCTGTGTAGCTGTTACTTGGTGACTTCATTTTTAGTGTGGTGAAAATGATCTTGAGTCATGAGATTTTATTTTTATTTACAAAGTAACAGAATTTACAATTTTTTTCTCTCTTTTTTTATCATTTGTTCATTTTTGTTTATCTTTATTTCAGGTGCAGAAGTTGGTATTAGCACAGCTCGTATTCATGCCCGAGGGCCAGTTGGAGTAGAGGGTCTTCTTACAACAAAATGGGTTCTTGATGGAGATGGCCATATTGTCTCTGAATTCAGTGAAGGAAAAAAGTTATTTTTGCACCAGAAACTGCCTCTGAATGAGTAAATGAATACAGTGCTTGACATTAATTTTTGTTTTTGAAAAGTTAACTTTCTGTAAGATGAGGCAATATTAGCTTTTGTGATTTTCTTTAAAGCACTTTTAGCTGTCTTGGTCTTGTAAGGACTTGCTTTACTATGTGATTTTTACTCTGAGCTTTACATATGCAGATATTAAAAAAATTTGAATATTTTATCAAGCAAATGTATGAAAGCAGAAAGTATTAAAATGAAGGAAAAATAATTTCCATTCAATTTTTTATTTTTCTTTCTTATTTTTATTTCTGTGATTTTTGTTGATCTTATTGTTGAACAAGACATTTGTAACTGTGTTTCACTCACTAGGAATAAAAGTTTGAAGTAATGTTTTATAATATATTGACACATGAATTACATCATGTTTTCTGTATAATTCTTATCAATTCCTTTTAAAACATTGTTCCATAATGTATGTATTATTAAAAAAAAGTTTTCTTTTAACTTATTTTTATGTAACACATATGATAGATTATTTTAGGGGTTATTTTGAAACAAGTCTTCATTCTTGTGGGACTGTTTAGTTATAGTTTTTATATTGAGATTCTGCTCGTTGTAATAGAGAAGTAGTACAGATATTCTATTATGTTACTGATAGATTAGTGATCATTTTTTTATTCCTAAGCTCTTGTAATGGCTTAGGTTCAGTAACTGTAATTACCTTATAAACATTATGAATGCATATTTCATTTGGAATTTCCAGTATATTTGGAAGTTATGAGTAAAATTAAGAATACTCTTGAATATTTTTCAGTAAAAGATTTTATAAAATGAAAAAGTGGTTCTATTTTAGATAAATTGCATCTGTGATGTTTACACAAAAAATTATAATGTGATGATGAAATATGTTTAGCAAAGAGAAAATGGAATTAGAGACTCATGGCTGAAAACTGAATTCATTAAGTCATAAAGATTATAAAGTGGAAAAAAAGTATTAGTCTCATGAAATATTTAAAGAAAATATCAATTTTTTAAAAAATATATTTTTCAACCTTTTAAAATGCTAGACAACATTCTCTTTGCATCAATATCTATCAAACTAAAAAACAATTGTTATTACTGTTATACACACAAAATTATATTAAATATTTGCATGATTAATTCTGTCTCAAAAAATATATTTAAATGTTTTGTTTGACAACTTTTTATTTTACTGCTTCTCAACTAATGTTTGTAATTTAATTCAATACACATAATAGGTTGATAAACAAAAAAATACTGAAATCTGAATTAGAAAAAAACCTGAAAAAGCTTAATATTTTACTTACTTCAGCCAGTGATTGAACAGTTTTCTCTTCCTATATTTTACAAAGCCCAGTGTTGCCAGATAATAATGTTAACTTAGGTGTATGTTTATTTGGTAGGATGCAAAATAAATCAGTAAAGATAACATTAACATAATTTTATAAAATGTTTCTATCAATACTTTTCTCTTGATTTAGACTTCTATCCTTTCTAATTTGCATTCTGTATTTTTGACTTGTTTTCTAGAGAAGTAACACTATCTGAAAAATTACTTGAAACTTCTTGAAATTAAAACTTGAAAGAAATTGATAGATAAAAATGTAACATAACTATGATGAACAGTCATCATAATATTTAAGAATGTCTACTGAAATTTGTTCTGTTTTGTGACAGGTTTGAATTAGCTCATTCAACATGAGGAATGGAGCTTGGCAAAAATAAATGATTATGATTGTAGGAATGAATATTCATATTATGCAGACTTTACTTCCTAAAAAGATACCACTATAATATAGTCCATGTCCTCTTCATATAATGGTTTTTCTAGTAAAATATTCAAATGAATGTTTGATGCCCTTTATGTGGATGAGAATGAAACAATTTCTAGATATAATCTTGTATTTTCTAAAAGTTTTTCAGATGATATGGCTCATTTTGTTGCTTCATTTCAGTGTCTTTTTATAAGTCTTCTATATGAAAAACTTTTCTTTTCCTCTTGTATATTTCACAATGAGGGTAACCACCTTGCTTTGCATTGCCACTGCTCTTTTCCTTGCCTTCTTTAGTTGACATTTCTCAGTATTAAATGTACAACTGACACATTCCATGTTATAATGGAACAATATTATTTTTAAATATTTTTTAGTAGTTTTCTTTTTAAAAGCAAAGCAAAAATGAAGTTAACAAGAATGGTATTTATATAAAGAAACATGAAAAACCTTTCTTTTTTGTCTTTGAAAATATTTAATCCACTTAAATGACATTTTTTCTTTATTTGCTTATAAGATTGTTCTTTTGGTTTTTATTTCTGATCAGTAATGTGCCTATAAACTGTGTTTCTGCATTGCTAGATTCACTAATATATCCTTCCTTTTTTATCAATTCCTTTCTTTATTTTTTCTTTTTAGAAATATTTTCTCTTTCTTTCCCTTTGGTAATTCAGAGCTGCTGTTAAGTTTATATGGGTGATAACAAATCATTCTTCATTAGACTGTAAATACCTAATTATGAACTAATGAGTTGACAACTAGATTTGTGCATATCTAAATGACTGATAAAGAATCAATGTCATACTTGAGTTATCAAGCTTTATATAAAAGAAGCAAACACTCAAATTAATGATTTAGTTTTGCAAAAGAAAGTAAAGATAAAATAAATATCAAATAACATTAATTGGGAGAGTAAAACATTTGTTTTAATATTCAACCATTTAGAGATTTTTATATATGAATGTATGAAGTTTTAATTAAAGCAAAATTATAAGACAAAAAATCAATTCCAATGTTTCATCTCTATATACTTATTTTAATATTTATTATGTTTAAATTCTTAGCTGTGTATTTAGCCTGGATGTGAACATCTTAAAACTGTTTTTTTTTTCATTCACTGTATTCTGAAATCTGGATCACTGAAATATGCAGTGTTCAATTACTAATTTGTTTGGTAGTCTTAAATTTTCTGGGAAATTTTGTTCATGCTGGTTTTCCCATCTTAAAGCTTTTTGGTAACCCTAAGGCAGTAATATTCGGCAATTTTTGATTTTTTTCTCAGTGCAGATGCTGTGTAGATTTGTTGTGGATTATTGGATGTACTTAAAGTAAGCTTTGTTGTAATTTTCCAATGATTTTATAGTAATAAAATTGTAATGCAATGGATTACTAAGCAAATCACTGCAACTTAAATGAAAAAAAAAAATCAATGAAAATATGCATCAAGAAACATCATACATCTTGAACATTTTAGACATTTATAGAAGTGGTTACTTTTGACAAAATTGTTTAGAGCAAAATTTTACTTTGACTAACTTTTTTTGTTGGTTAAACATATCAGAAGTTTAAATTATTCTTTATTAAAATTTAATTATCTAAGTTTGGTTACCTTACAATGCAAGTTGTAAAACATATGGATTTTTTTGGGAAATGAAGTTAAATGACTAACATAAAATCTTTGTTGTAATATTAAATAATTATCAGCATTATTCTTTTTCATAAACTCCTCAGGATATAAATGCTAAATCTTGTGGCTTCAAATTCCACTAGGTGCTTGCTTATTTGGTATTTATTTTTACTGTATGACTACATTAAAATAAAACTAAATTTTTATAAATACTATATTGATTTAGTTGTTATTGTTGAAATGATCTATTTTAACTTTTGCTTGAATCTTTTCATTTTTAAGAATATTCTCATTTTAAGTTCACAGGATGATATTTTTATCTTTTAAACCATTTACTACAAATAAAAAAAGTGCTCACATATGGCAACAATAGATATACATTTACTCTTTTATGAAAACAATTCTAAATTATGTTATTTGATAATTTAAGGTTTTGAAGTTTTGTACAATGAAAATATATTTTGTTAATTTTCTACTTTTTTTATCTTTCATATTTTTCACTAATCTCTCTTAAAAATAAAACTTTTTGTGGGTCATGTTTTTCATTTTTGAATATTTCTCTTTTTCTGATGGAAATATCATGTTGAGTTTTTATTTTGAATGGAATTGAACACAAATAAATTATGCCAAAATGAACATACTGAAATGTAAAGAGTTATTTTTTGTAAAGGTTTATTAAATATGTGCAAAATATCAGATCAGTTGTTTTCATTTGTTTTTACTGTTGTGAAATACTTGAATCCATTTAGAATATTACATAAAAACATGTAATGTACAAACAATATTTTCATAGCTCAGCACAATATCAAGGTTATAATTCTGGTTCTTCCAAGAATGCTATTTATTATTGAGGATTTTTATGGGATTTTTATTTTGAACATTTTTTTTAACCTTTTTAATCGTTTGTATCATTTTTTGTTGTCTTAATATTTGATATTTACTTCATCTTAAATATCAGATAATCTCCCACCCTTTATCAACCATTCCACTTATTCTGCCACTTGTACCATTTTAAGTAGTGTCATAATTGATAAAGTTTCATAAATATGATTCTATGATTAGAGAAAGCACAACCAGTTATAAAAAAAAATTCTTGTAATGAGAAAAGCCATTATTGAAAAAAATATTAGGGGGATAGTTTTGGGAAATAAAAGGAATTTTGGAGGAATTTTTTTTTAATTTAAAAAGGAAAATGAACATGACTATTGGTAAAATCTATAATAATAATACTAACTACATTTTTCTGTGGGTTCATTATAAAATCTATAACTAAGTTTGAATTATTGATAAAGGAGTGATGATTGCAACAAAGCTACAGAAAGCAGATAAAATAAGGGTTTGCATTATCAAATTTAAGATTCAATATATTTTTGTACTATCTCTTCAAGTCTGAAAATCAAGTCATATTGTTTCTTCAACAGCAGATTCTAATTTTTCCGATAAAAATGTTTTGTTAGGAAATGTGTAGGTGCTTTTTGGAGTAGTATTTTCTGTTTGGTGCCAGTAGGAAATATGCAACTCACTAAGGCCATTTCTTCCTTTTTGACATTGTGGAGGACTAAGCTTACTAAAGATCTTAAAAAATTCTTAAATGTTTGTGGTCTTATTATA